ACTCCATAGGCTGTTCAGGTAACAGTCAATAGAATTAAGATTATCTTGGCGTTTTCTTTGGGGGATTAAGGAAAGGTCAGTTTTCAATACCTGCTTCAGATAGACTGTTTTCAGGGTTTTTTTTAAAAGAATCTTCAGTTAAAATAGTTTGTGTGGTTGACAGGCTTAATTTTTTGAAAATACATTGCTCTGACTGATGAGCTTTTTTACAACTGATTATTGAGAAGCTTTCACACTTTTATTCTAGCATGAATTGTAACATTGAATCTAGTATTTTCATGTTAATGGATGTCAGGCTAGTCAGCGTCCTTTGGAAATTGCAACCATGACTGCTTATTTCTTTTACGCCAAGAGTTTTCAAGACCATGGGATATCCAGAAGTTATGATCATGCCACCTTTTTATTAAGGAGGCATTTACATGAGAATAGGAAGTACGAATTACATTTCTTCTTGCTTCTGGGAATTTGAACCCAATCTATGACTAACCAGGACAGTGTTTTAATAATCAGAAAGTGTGTGGATTGTAGGGCTTCCAAGACATTTAAAAAGTGAAAAAAAACACCCATTTTCCACCCTCTCAAATTAATAGAGAGCAACTTGGGTTGCTGTGTTGGGGAGCATCTGTGAATATTCTGTTAACCATGGATCCAGTCACTGCCTTTAACTGCTAGTGGCAGCCTAGTTTTCAAAGGGTTGGGAAGTGTCTCAAATCTGCAACCACCACTTATAGACCCTGTTTTAGACAGCCATGGCCAAGAGGGTGCACTGGCTTTGCTGTCAATACCAAGTTAGTATATTCCTGTTCCCACGTTACATTATACTGCCTTCCCAGTCATGCTGCAAGTATTTATTCTTTGCAGATCTGTACTGTAACAGATCAAGAAGCTGATCTGGCTTAAAAAAGCATTACCCGAATAAATGAGTGATGTGCATACGTGTAGGGTTTCAAGCCCAACTGATGGTAGAGAAGTGTCAGGAACAGCTTGAACCATTATTATCATCAAAGCCAATGCAATGTCAAATCATGATTTGAGATGCTGCTGACTCAGGGGTTTACACAAAGACAGATGAGTAAAGTGGGTGTTGTTCTTTCGAAAGGAAATGCACAGAGCCATAGGCTTTCTTAATGGAAACACTTCAGTGTCTTCTCTTGAAGCTTCAGAAAAAAAGTAAGATTGCCAGTTCAAAGAGAAGGAGCGAGGATTAGCTTGATTACCAAATTGACTGGCAAAGTCATCATTTGGGCTCTGGTTTCTTCTCCCACATTTCTTTATGTAATTCCATTTAGTGATTGTTGTACCTTTTAAAAAAACCCAAATACTTGGGTGCTTGGGTCAGAAAGAGGGAGCACATTAGAACGGGGGAGATTAATAAGTTTGTGAGATGAAAATATTTCTCTTCAATCAAGAGATTCAGTCTCAATTAATCTCCTTGTAAAATCATATTATATATTATATAACTCTTTCCTGTGTTCCTTTCATGACTTGCTGCTTGGGTTTTTTATATTTCATTTGTCACTACTAGCCTTCCTTGCTTCTCCCGTGCCAGAATGGCCTCCCAAGGGGAGTTCTCTATTGGCTGTAGTGCCTTTATAGCAATAGATTCTGAATGTGACATGGCTGTGTCTGTGTAGCAGAAAGAAAGAGGGATACAGGTGGTGTTCAGGCAATGAAGTAGAGGGTCCCAGGCATAGATAGCAGAGTATTATTCAAATGAAGTTTTGGTTACTTACAGCTGTGCCTTTCCAAATAGTTTTTAATGGATTATTTAAATATGATTTTGTGTGTTCTAGTGCTAGTATCGATAAAGAAAAAATTGCTGGTACCAGTTCACCACAGGCAATGTTGGATCACCATCCTGCGACAGTCATGATGGACTTGCAGTCGGAAGAGGATGTCAAACCTCCTCCTTCTTTGATTATAGACTCACAGCAAAATGAGAACTTAGAACAAGTGGAGGAACACCAGCTAGTGCATATTATGGAAAGGTCTCCCTCAACATCAGTGTCTTCAGTTGATATGAGAGTGATGATGTCTCCGTCCCCTGTACCAAGAAGAGATGAGTTTTTTAGGCTTGAGGTTGGAGACCGCTTTAGACCAATGTGTGGTTATGACCCACAGATGTTACAAATGCTGAAAGAAGAGCATCAGATAATATTAGAAAACCAAAGAAAAATCGGTCTTTATGTCCAAGAAAAAAGGGATGGTTTGAAAAGAAAGCAGCAACTGGAAGAAGAACTGTTGAGAACAAAAATCAAAGTAGAGAAGCTGAAGGCAATACGACTACGGCGTGATCTGCCAGAATACAGCAATATTTAAATATTTTATTACTTCTGTCATATTCTTTGATATACTTAATAATAAATGCAGAATTGTTCCTTATGTTAATATGGATGGATCAAAATCTGGGCTTGAGACATGAAAGCATATTTTCCACATTGTTGTTTGTGTACCTTAGAAAAATACCTCGTATGCGTTTGAATGCACCAACTCTTCTGGTCTGAAATAGTCAAATCCTGTACATTTAAGTGTTTAGATTGATAAAAATCCAAACTTTTAAAATATTTCCACTTATCTCTATTAGAGTAGTGATGAGCTAATGAAATTAGTCAGGTCTTGTTAAAATTTTGTTCATATGCATTATTTTTTCAAATAATCACCTTTACTATCTTGATGAAGTTACAGGTTAATAAATACATATAAGAAGGAGAAATAAGAGGTCTTTAAATGTCTTTTTCTTTTCTAGTTGGTAAATCTTATGACAGTGGTGAGATTTTGCTGACGTATCAGCTTGGAAAACAAAATGACTGGATTGTTATATTTTTTTAATGTTCAGTAGACAGTTGAATAAATGTACATATTTTTAAAAGTTAATACTTTTTAATTGTTTCCAGTGGAGGAGTGTTTCCACAGGATATTATAAAAATAGAGACGATGAACGCAACACTTGGTTTTTAAAACTGCATGCATGTGTAATTTGTGTGTACAGTTACCATGATTGTATATTCAGTTATAATAATTATGCTGGTGATCAACCACATAAATGTCTGATTTCCTCTTTTGCATGCATAATGACTACAGTGCATGTGCAACCAAGACAGTTGCAGGTGCCTTTGATCAGTATCACTAGGACTATAAGCTACTGAAAAGAAATAATTTCTGTATGTAAGTAACATGTGACTTGAAATCAACAGAGGATTCCGTGTTATTCTGGGTACCTTTTATAGATGCTGTTGTTCTGATCTTTCGATTAGTTTCAAATAAAAAGCCTCAAATAAAAATAAAATTAATTCTTCTGTCTGTCCTAGTAGCAGCTGTTTCATCTGTAGTTGTGATCAACGTTTATAACTGGAAGAAAAATATCTGGAAAACATCAGTCCCAGATGATTCATTTCTTCATAATTCTAAGTCCTGCCTGTTATGAGTGGATCCACAACTGCCTTAGACCTCTGCTCCTTATTCCCCATAACAATACTTTCCCCTTCCTCTAACCTTTAGCGCAAGAAAAGGAAATGAAGCACAGGATCAAGAAAAAAGAGAGAACAAAGGAGATGTAATTCCTCCTGTGCCTCGCATCTCAGAGGGCCCCAACAACAGAGTGAACAAAAGCAATAGGAAGGAGACTGTTTCTTCCTTGCTCCCCTCACCAGTGTTTTCCCAAATTTGCTTCCTTCTCCACACCCACAGAACCTCAGCGTGCAAGCATGAGGCACTGATCTGCATCAGCAGATTCTGAATGAGGTAAGCTCCTCGTGTGTCTTCTGAGTGAACCAGGTTACCTTTGTAGCCACAGGGATAGGTGCTTATTGGAAACTATGAAGACTGGGAGCATGTGAGTTTAATTGAGGGGCTAGCTGAACTTCAAGAATTGTAGTTAAATTTTGTGATAGTAGACAAGAGGATTGATCTTGACTGTCAGGGCCCAGGATAACTTTAACAGGTTATAGGTAGGAAAAGTTGAGAAAATGAGTCTTTTGTTTACAGAATGAGGAAAAATACAGAACAGTGAAAACAGATGTTGGCAACATGGAGTTCCCCAATACTTTTTCAGTTGTTTTCTAGAGAAGAGAGCACTGTAAGTGCCTTGGGAATTTTTGTGTGCACTGAAAATTATGGTGCCTGGATAACTGGTCGTTGTTTCTGTACGGTTCTTGGCTTTCTGCTGTATTTTTTAGTTCAAGGACATCAATCTGCTTTTGTGTAGGTGGAAACATTTCAATGAGACATTCACTTCCCTGAGTTCACAAGAATCAAAATGCTGCCTTCAATAAATAAACAAGGATTTTATTTGTTCTGCTTCTCAGAAATGGGAAACAGCACTAACCTGCCCTCATCTTGTAATTTGGAAATGTCTAATCTTATCCTTTTAGTTGAAAATCAGAATTCTGGTTTCCAGTGGTAGGGAATTAATTTCTATTTCTTGGTTTTGTTCTTAGACATTATGCAAATGAAGAAGTTTTTAATAGTTCAGAAAATAATTCCCATACAATTCTCATTGTTTTGCAGTGGTTTTGAATTACAGCTAGTCCAGTGTTGACCACCAAAATGCTCCAGAGATTAAAGAATATTTTCTGTTGATGCTAGATGAAGAGGTGACCTCCAGGGTTTCTACTGGCATGATATTTTTATTTCGAGGACTAGAACCAGAGGAATTTCCAGTCTTGGAAAGCTTACAGTCTTTTCTTAACTGGCAAGCAAAGCAGTTGCAAAAATAGGACTCTGGGTAAAGCAAAGTCTCTTTTGTCTTCCTGGTGTTGTAAGGGGAGGAATGCAAATGAGTAAAGAAATAAAATACACCAGCCTGGTCAGAACTGTGCTCTTATGGTCAGTGTTCTTCCATGTTTGGTTGTTCTGGCTTTGTCTCATTTGTCAGTGGAAAGCCTTTCATTCCTATCTTCAGGCGGCAGCTCTAGTTCAGAGATCTCTCATGCTTCTTGTTTACTTCGTTCTCAGTTTTGTTTCTTTTGGTTTTTGGGGAGCTTGAGGAAGGGGGAGACGTCTATTGAGTCCCCTTGAATCTTGCTCATTTCTTTACTAGTGAAGTGGTTTATTTGCTTTCACCAGAGACGTGTTTCCTCCTTTAGTGATATTATATTGCTCTCTCAGAGCACTGTGTTGCTGACTATATATTATACCCTCCATACTGGTGGATCTGCATTTCTTTCTCACTCCACATCTGCTTTACAGCATCAAGTTATCTGTCTGAGTCAGACTTCTCACTTCTCTGTGCCTGTTCCTGGGGTTTTTTCCATGTATTCCTAATGTCTGGTACATGCACCACAGCTGTGTCTGGTCCTTCTGGACCATGAAGTGCTATGATTTTTTACTGTTGCATCAAATGATACTGTGTTAGTGTGTGTGAAAGGGAAGGTAGGAAGCCCTTCCCTCCTTCACCCTCATTCTTACCGTCTTACTCCCTTCACTACATCTGGCAGTGCCATTCCCTGTCTGCATGTTTATAAAGTACATAGTACAAGCAGAGTAATTTTAGGCAAGGACAATTTTCTACCATATGTTCATGTCCTTCTACTAAGATAACTGAAATAAACTGGCTCTGGAAGTAATTTAATTCCCAGCGTCTAACGGATTTATGTTTAGGATTCGAATAAAAAGCTGTAACCATGATAACATTGTGATAATTGTGATAGCACCTTGTGTAATTTCATCTATCTGGGTAATTGTCTAATGATCAGTCTATAATTTCATTGGCTGCTCTCTAATTATCTTGCCTTTTTTTTTTTTTTTCCTCTCGCTACTTCCTCTTTGTAAGCTTTTGACTCCTGTGGAATCATCTCAGTAGGTGTGCTTTCCTTGGATCAGAATTCTTATCAAGTAAAACTAGTAGGAGAGAGTACTCCAAGACCAGGAGAGATTACTTGTAGCTAAACCCCTGTTTTCTCACGTTTTCCACCTAAGTAGCCTAAATTCCTTTCTTTCAGATATATATATATATATATATATACACATATATATATATATTTCTATAGATTTTCAGACTTGGGATTTTTCCCCCATACAATGAAAACGCATAGACTAGAGCTTGCATACTATCTTCTTTGGGAAGACTTGTGTCCACTTGATTTCCACTAGGCAAAACCATGAAGTTGCTTATAAATAATGAGAGTTGTTTCTGAGTGGGAGGAACAAGTAAGGAATTGTGTTACCCAGGCTGCCTGTCTAAGCTGTCTTTTAAAATTTCCTTTATCTTATTTTAAACTGTTTTAGAATGGTTCTGTGTGAATTTTAACTTCAGTAATGTAATAAAAAGGCTACTCAAGAAGATGATAAAGTGTTATTTTCCTAAGATGTTGATACTTTTTCATTTTGCACATGAAAATAAAAAGACTTTAAAAAGATTGTTTTGAACATTAAAATGCATTAAATGTAGCTTCTCAGTGTGTATCCCTAACTAGTTGTGCTACTATTCTGTTTTAAATATCCAGGTCCTTAATAATTTGAGAAATACCACTGTCTATGTCTTAGATTAGAAAAAAAAAACACACACACAAAAAAGGTGCTGTTTACAGTAGTTAAAATAATGTCTGTTAGCTATATAACACATGACTAAATTTCAGTCATTCTGTGATCTGTGTTGCTGTGTTTTATCTCTGATAAAAACAAAGTGCTTGCCTTGGTGTTGACCAAGTTGCCTGTGTGTAGTGATGGTTGGGGCATCCAGTTTGTCTTGGCAAAATGTTCTCCACAATAAAGGTACAATTTCCTGAAGTTCCATTGAATGCTAGCCAGCAAAATGTGAACTCTTCCTTGCAAAAGCTACAGTTGTTCAGTGGAAATGTAGCTGAAATCCTCATTTCCGATCCGTATGTGGGAAAGTGGATGAGGGTCAGAGAACCCATGGAAAGCTCAGCCCTGTGTAGGCATTGGCATTCCCCATCGCCCCTGCCTTTCTTCCATGCTGTGGGATTTCACACTGTTTTATCCTAGTGATTACACAGAATTATTTGTTGATGTGTCCAAATATCTCTGAGTGAACATAACACCTTGTTTGACTGTCTTACACAAGAAGAATGTCATATAATTATCACTGAATACTTAGTCAGCAGTTACTCCACATAATATATGATTTTGATTTGCTCTTCAGCAAAACTGCAGACTTGGAAAATGCTACTGAATTTTTTGTATTTTACATATACAATTAAATTTATTTTTTTTTAAAGAAATAATTGTTTCCTGGCCATTTCCTTTTGGCTCTTGATTTTCATCTGTAGTTAGGATAATTGCAGTAATTAGCATAATTAAGCATACATATAGGGAAAAAATAATTCCACTGAATTATATTGCCACTCTAAAATCAGTTGATGTCAGAACTCAGTTTGGTTAAGGCTCAGTCATTTTCACCAAATCACAGAATTTTCCTAGTTAGAAGGGACCCACAAGGATCATCAAGTCCAACTCTTAAGTGAATGGCCCATATGGAGATCAAACCCACGTCATTGGTGTTATTAGCACCAGGTCTGACCAACTGAGCTAATCTCAGAGGTTTTTTTGTGTACCGTAGCCTGTGTTTTGCCTTTTGCTTACTTTGTTTATTATTGTGTAAGATTGTCTGTATTGGTAATGCTTTCTCAAAATATATCAAAGTTTGGAACTTTCTGCATGCTTGAAATAAGTAAATCAGTTTATAAATTACTGATTTTTTGTTGTTGTTTTAGCTTTAACAGTGAAACAATAGGACAAAATGTTTATCTAGTTTGGGGATGGGCTGAAGGGATATGGGACTACCTGTGGTTAGTTACAACAACATTATTTGTGTCCTGCAACTGCGTGAGATAAAACTGTAGTGTCAAGTTGTAGTGTCAAGTTGTATTTGTTATTAATCTCTGATGATGTTTTGTGAAAGAAAGTAATTTTTAACTCCGCCGCAGTTTGCAGATACATTTTTTTGTAGCCCACTTGTCAATACTATTAAGAATATAATTTTGCGAAGTCAGAGCATTTGTGTGAGGCATGTACTGGAAATACAGGATTAAAATCGGTGTGTATCCATTAGTATTGACACATTCTCTATCCTGGTCTGACATTTACTTAGCGCTGCATTGTAAGGCCCCTGCCCCCCAAAAAATTGACTTGGAAGTTCTGCAGGTTTCACCCAGGTGGTGTTTGCCTCATTTTGCATTGTAAGGAAGCTTTGGCAGTGGGTTGTGCATTGTAATGAACTCCACATGACATTAGTAGCATCAACTATCAGTTTGGCCAAACTGTTTTATGCTCCTCTTGGGCTATAATGTGGGTGTTCTGTGTATGCATTTGTGTTTGTTTATGTCTCAGTTTTTTTCTGTGAA